CCGAATAGCCAGAGGAATATTGAAAAGAAAAGCAAAGCTGGCGGCAATCACAATTCCAGACTTCCAGCTCTATTACAAAGCTGTCATCATCAGGACAGTATGGTACTGGCAAAAAAAACAATCACATAGATCAATGGAACAGAATAGAGAGCCCAGAAATGGATCCTCAACTCTATGGTCAACTGATCTTTGACCAAGCAGGAAAGAATGTCTAATGGAAAAAAGACAGTCTCCTCAACAAATGGTGTTGGGAATATTGGACAGCCACATGCAGAAGAATGAAACCGGACCCTTTCCTTACACCACACACAAAAATAGACTCCAAATGGTTGAAAGACCTAAATGTGAGACAGGAGCCCATCCAAATCCTACCTCAGCCGCAGCAACTTCTTCCTAGAAACATCGCCAAAGGCAAGGGAAACAAGGGCAAAAATGAACTCTTGGGACTTCATCAAGATAAAAAGTTTTGCACATCAAAAGAAACAGTCAACAAACCAAAAGACAACTGACAGAATAAGAGAATATATTTGCAAATGACATATCAGATAAAGGGTGTTTTTCCCTTTCACCCACAAGCCACTAAGAGTGTCGACCAACCTTCCCCACAAACATGGAGATGGCCAACTAGCAATTACCCACTCACGTGCCTCCTATCGAAGCTGTCTGATTTCAGTCCCCTGCCTGGCTCCACAAGTGATGATTCACAAGCAGCCTGGGAGTTGGCAGGGTGTCAGTGGAAATGCACTCCACAGATGCTAAGGGATTTAAGACACCAAACTAAGTGGCTAACCAGTCCCGATTGGCAGGGGGAAGTTTGAAAATACCAGGACACTTACAAAATCAAAATTTAAAAAAATTAAAAATTAAATGAAAGGGAAAAATGAAAACACTCAAATGAAAAATGTTGAATACATAAAAAATAAATGTAAACAAAGAAAAGAAAGATAGCAAACAATGTAATGCAAGACAAGGGAACTTAATTATGAGGCTCATCTTGGGTGGCCAACGGTGACTCGAGTTCCACACCCACTTGCCAAAATCTGAAGTGATTGTCGAAGGGCCTTCACTGGGTCTGGTCCTACACAGAGTCCCAGAGTCACAACACCACGATTTGATATCAGGGCTGTAATCCTCGAGAAAAGCTAGTGGCAGTGGGAAAGGCACATGGCATCCAGAGGAGAAGGGGCAGGGCATGTCCACCTGCCCAGGGCAAGCACCTGGCTCAAGTGGTCCCGATGTCTTCCTGAAGACCTCTTCCACCAAAGGTCTGAACCACTGAAGGCAGGGCTACCACAGGAAGCTGTCAAAATTATTGGGGATGGGCCATCAAGCTGTGGGCCATCTGGGCATTGATAAGTCCCATGCTCCAGGTCCTGCCCAGTGAACCAGCCAGCACTATGGAACCCAGGTGACTCCACCGGCATTGCTCCCACCAGCACATAAAGGAGTAATTTTCCATCAGATACTCTGCTATCTGCGTGCATTGCCCAAAGGCCTGATAATGTTCAAGGGTTCGGGAAAATAGAAGGGACCACCCTGATTGCTGCCACATATGGACGTCATCCATGGAGGATTGGCGGAAGGGGATAGAAAGAGGCTTGCATATGGCTGCCGTCAGAATGAAAACTGAAGTTGGTGGCCAGGATTCCCACCAGGAGTCCCTCTTTGCATATCGGCAAACTAAATCTCAGGTGGCAGAGAACCGATCAAGATTCAGCCCCTATTTCAGGTGTCATTTACAAAAAGGGAACTTTCACCTCATGGACCAGCACTTAGGATGTGTTGTCGGAGTTTACCTTCACGTTTCTTTGGAGCAGTCAGTGCTTCTTTGTTTCTCCTAAGGTGCTTTCACCCCTTCACCCGCAATGTGGGTCTCCTCAATTCGTTGGCATGCCATCACATGGTTTGATAGTGGTTGGTATTTCCCTAGATCCTTGCCTATCACCTGTTCCCACAGGCAGATGGTGAACTGCCTGTGTCCTGTTGAGCAGCCCCTTAGTTGGATCCATGAGTGGCAAAGTCACAGGAACCCCAGACTGAGAAGACATCGACCCAGTAGAAAGTGAAGAGTTGAGACCACACCACCAGTTTGCATTCTTATTACAGCCTTCCACATATGGTTGCCATTTTCTTAGCAACGTGCCCACTCCCACGCAGATCATTATGGGGGCAACTTGTTTTGAAGCCGAGGCAGCAAGGGGCTCTGCAAATATTGTTCGAGCAGAATCTGTACCCTGGCATTGCCACCAGAGAACGACTGGCCCAAGAGCTAGACATTACATAAACCAAGGTCCAGGTAGGCTTCAGCTTCCACTGCATTCCTCCTGGGGTCAAGATTGGACACAATCCAGCCCAAACCACTGCATGCCAATGCCCATGCTCAGCTGGGGAGCTCAGAAGCTTTGGCCCCTGTTTGTGCATCGCTGTTGAACCTGTGCCCTTTGACGTTATTCCAAATCATTCACTCCTGGACATCAGTAGCATTGGTCTGCAAGGCTTGGGACATTCCAACAAGTCAACACATTTTGGCTTACCTTCCCTAGAAATCTTCTCCAGAGTTATCACATGGCCCACACAAAACACTTTTGAGACTTTAGCTATGAGAAAAATTATATATATATATATTTATATTTATATTGTATATATATAATATATAAATATATGCTATATATATCATGTCCACCAGTGTTGCCTGATCATCGGTTCTTCTTTTGCCATTAGGTGTGGTTCCAGAACCAGCGCACGAGACAGCTAAGGCAGAGTTGTTTGTGGTTCACAAACCCCCAGGGGAAGGGCCATCCCATGGACAGGAACAGCCTCCTGCTTGGACTCAAGGTGACTCCCTAGCATACCAAATGGTTCTCTTCTTGAGCTTCTCGTTGACACAGGAACGGGTCATCATGGGCTTGCCAAGTGTATGGCAAGAAGCCTTAGGATAGGAACCCATGCTATCTGGTTCCAGCCACCTTTCTGTTCCCCCAGCTTCAGAGAGCACCTCTCTGCCTATTCCTCTTCTCTCGCCTCAGCTTCAGACCCTGTGCATCTGCTTGCGGACCAGACAGCTCCAATCTGAGCTCACATTTTCAACAAGTAATTAATGGGAACTTACTGTGTGCCTATGGGGAACAACATGGGAGATTCTAGAAGACATTCCTTTCATTTGTTTGTTTGTTTGTTTGTTTGTTTTATAGTTTCAGAGGTAGAATTTAGTGATGAATCAGTTGCACAACACCCAATGCTCATTCCTAGTGCCCTCCTTAATGCCCATCACCAAATTACCCTTTCTCCCCACCCACCTCCATTGAAGCAACCCTCAGTTTCATCCTTATATTTAAAAGTTTCTTATGGTTTAGCTTCCTCTCTGTTTTCATCTTATTTTATTTTGTCTTCCCTTCCCCTATGTTCATCAGTTTTGTTTCTTAAGTTCCCAATATGAGTGAAATCATATGGTATTTGTCTTTCTCTAAGTTCAATTAGCATAATACTCTCTAGTCTATCCACATCATTGCAAATGGAAAGGTATCATTTTTTCTTGGTGGCTGAGTATCATTCAATTGTGTATATATAACAAATCTTTCCTGAGACATCAAAAAGATCTGTTTTTACACCCTGCTGCTTATAGTACTCTGCGGTAGCTTCCTCAAGCAGACTCCCTCATCTCCACTGTATCCTCAGCTATCTGAGAGCAGATTCAAATCTCCACACTTCCTCCCTTCCAAATGGTGTTCCCTTATCTCCTTGTTGACTTGCAGCTTTTATATTCTTAGATCTCTGATTGATTTCTTGGGTGTTCAGAATGATTTGGTAAGTATGTAGTTGTATTTGAGGGATGAGACAAACTTACCTCTTCCCCTCTGTACTTTCTGATTGGATGCTGGGCATGAAGACTGTGAACCCGGTAACAGTCTGAATTTTGTTGTCCCACTTCTATGAGAGCTGAATGTCCTTTTGGCAAGTAGGTAATGATTTGTGACACAGCTTCATCCTTTCCAGGTTTATGTTTATTGTGGGAAGATGTACCCAACATATACCTACCATTTTCAACACTTATATATAAGCTTTGATAGATGACTTGAGAATAGCATTTGCTATAGTGCCATGTTGTCCAACTTACCCCTCAAGTATGACCTTTCATGGGGTCTAATGGCCCATGTCTTCATTAATATCAGTATCAGTGTTTCAAAGAATGGTGACTCTGTGTGACACATTTAGCTTTGTACTGATTGAGTTCTTTCAGCGTCACCATGAACTTCACCATAAAATCATCCTAAATAATATTTTTTCATCTTGAAGGAAACTTAACCTGTTTTCTTTGAAAGATGGTTTCCAGGTAATGATGTCAGAAGGGTTACTGAGAAAGCCATTCATCCTTGGTCAGCCAAACTGCATGGTAATTGGCCATCAAATGGGGTTGTCCTGATAGCATCATGGTGATTGGCCAGGGCACAGTGGTGACATATCAAAAAGGACTTGGGATGCCACAGGGCTGTTATAAAAGTATGGCAACAGCTGAGGCTAAACTGAGGAGAAAGATGATAATTCGGCCACAGCTCTTCCTGCTATTCCTTGAGATCTCTACTCTGTTCTCTGCTCCTGCCCATGGCAAGCCCCTGTCCACTCCTCCTCCCCTGGGCCTCTCATCAGCACTCTGCAC